GAGGAAAATGTAGATTTTTCTAAAGTTCATCTCTGAGTCTTGGTGAAGGGAAGAGGGACGTTTGTGACAGGGAAGAGGAAAGGGGTGGGGAGCCACAATGACGAAGAGGAAGGTGTTTAGAAACTCCTAGGTAAGCCTCCCAGTTTGGAAATGGGGATATTAGGATTAAGTGGGGTTGCGGATGCCGCCGACTGACTCGGTCTCCCAGGGAATGCATCACTATGACTGTAGGGTGGTGGGCAGGTGTGTTTGCATGGGGGAGAGAGGTCAGGAAACCTGGTCCCTGCAGTCAGCGGGAATTCAGGAGGGTGGAGGCAGGTGGATGGTCCACCATGGTATTAGGAAGACAGCATAGCTTGGCAGACAAGCTCAAATGTGTTCGACCATAAATACCATGCTTGGTAGTTATGAGGACTCATACCAACATGCCAGAACCCAGGAAGCATAACCACAGAGAGAGAGACAGGGTCCATCTAGCAGTGGCCAGGGTCCTGGAGGACAGGGAGGACTCAATGTATCCCTGTCCCGAGGACTTTGGAAGCTAAAGGTCTGACTACGGGACACTAACCCTGGACACCCTTCCAAGTGGGAGCCAGATCTTCTAGGAGCAAATAGGGGGATGGGGAAGTGTGGGCTGGGAGGGATTGCCGGGGACTTCAGAGTTCAGAGATTAATTGGGGGACCAAGGATTAAGTAGGGAATGGGGCTTTCCACAGCCACACTCGGGAATTGTTGACACAAGGGACCAGGAAGAAAGGAAGCAGAAAAAGCCAGAGTCAGCGATGACACTGCAGCTAAGGGCAAGGGCCGAAAAGCGGAAAATGTGAGCGGTGAGAAAGGAATGGACCAAGCAAATAAGCGGGGGTGGGCGGGGAGAGGATACAGGAGACAGAATCACGGGATAGAAGGATGAGTCCAGCATCCTAATTCCTACAGGGGTGGACTTTTGTTTTCTAATGTGAACCTGGGTTTTAGCTAGACTGGCTGGCCAACATGCCCCAGGGACCCATCTGTCTCTGTCAGTACATCCCTGCACCCCTCCCTTGCCAGCCCTGGGATTACAGACATGTGGCCAGCACCTGGCTTTTTAGGCGTTAGGGACCCAAACTCAGGTCCTCATGTTTGTGAGGCAGGCACTTTACCTATTTTCCTAGCTCCTAAATTATAAAACCCTGATGGTAAGGGAAGAGTCTAACAAGTTGTTGTTCCCCACTGACTTGAGAATACAGTAAATTCTAAATAAACTTGTATGGGGAGACGGAGTTTTCAATTTAGAGGATCCAGGGCACTGTGGGGTGTGTGTGTGTGTGTGTGTGTGTGTGTCTGTTAGGAGATTACAGTCATTCACCACCACACCATTTACAATCGAACAAGCTTTTTTCTGGACTTCTGGTACCACAGACAGGGTAGTATTGGGTACCACAGGGGCTGATGGAAATAAAGGAGGGCAGAGCTGCACTGTGGGATATTCAATCTTGACTTCAGCTTTGCCCAGATTGCTGATCCCAGCTGACCCAGGCCACAAAAGTGTTGTCTCCACGCCCTCCATTAAAGGGATGGCAGCTGTGCTAGACATGCTGGGCAAAAAAATGAGGTCAGGTTTTGTCAAAGCCAGTGCAATTCACAAGCGAATTCAACCGGCTAGATTCACAGCAACCGTGGAGTCGGTCCTGCATTTCTGAAATCACAGATAGGAACCGACCTGCTGGGAAGAGAATTTGGGATACATTGTGAACTTCAAAAAGTTTCTGCCTGGAAACTGGAGAGGTAACCATGGCAACTGGGAGGCAGGTTGAACTCTGAGGAGGGCTCTCCATCTTCAGCAGGGAGCTGCGCGCTCTCAGATCTGCCCATCTCTGCATTGCACATGCGCATCACTCCCTTTGTCTGGGCTTGCTTTGTCAAATAGAACATGCTAGCTCAGGAGTCTGGAGACAGCCCTGGCTTCAGCTCTTTCCAGTCTGGATCATTTAATGAAGGGCACCTCGGGCACTGCTGTTTTGTTGCCTGCAAAATGGAAATTAAAAGCCTCCTGTGGCCTATTCACAGGAAATGCAGAAGGGGCAGGGGAGTATGGGAGGAGTCTGCAGAAATCGGTATTATTGTCACGTGGCGCTGTCTGGGCTGATTCAAATCCGGGCAAGAGTGCAGGTGAGACCAGGGTTTGATTCATCCGTAACCCTTTCTCCCCCTTTGTCACACGGAGCACGGCTGTGCCATGGCTAACACATCTACGCCTGGCAGCTCTGTGATAAAAGTGTGTCTGAGGAGCACGAGGAGCACCAAGCAAAACAACACCCTGAACCTCGGGACTAGGAGGTGCTCCTGGCAGGCCGGATGGTAGGCTGCACCATGTGGACTGAAGGCCTGAGATGCCCATTGGCTCTACAAGGCACACTGTCTTCTTCCACATGGCAGCCCAGCTCGGGTCTAGCCCCGGGGCTGTGAGGTAGGAGTCCCCAAGAGCTGAGGCTGACAAGATGAGCCCGTGGATGTGGTGTTGACTACACCTGAACTAGAAGTGTGACGGGAAAAACTGCCAGGTCCTATCTGTCTTGGTTCCCCATTGAGTACAAGGGAGCTTGGGAAAGGCTTCCAACAACCCAGAGTACACCTTGTTGACTAACTAGGTCACCTCTCAAGGACGGAGTCTTTTCGACCAATTGTCCCACATTGTGTCTAACTTTGGACTCCACGGTCTTAACCCCCTCAACAACTGCTAGCTCAGAGACCTCCCCTCCTGCCTTCCCTCTGCTAGCTCAGAGACCTCCCCTCCCGCCTTCCCTCTGCTAGCTCAGAGACCTCCCCTCCCGCCTTCCCTCTGCTAGCTCAGAGACCTCCCCTCCCGCCTTCCCTCTGCTACCCCCTTTCACTTTTTCAGCCTTTTAGTTGAACTCTCTCAGGTCAGAACATATCCTTTGTCTCTTTCTTCTCTATTTTTCCCCCCCTTATCCTTCTGCTGGGGACCAAATCCAGGTCTTGTGCTTGCTAGGCAATGCTCCACCACTGAGCTGCATCTCCAGGCCACTCCCTCCACTCCTCCCTTAGTCCTTTATATCACTGAGCACAGAGCAGGCCTTGCTGAAGACTGTAACTCTGGAGATGACCCCTATGAGATGGAAATCTGTATTCTTTTTTTTTCCTCTTTGGTTATGAAACTTTTATTTTCATTTAAGCTTATAAAAATATAGCTAGAAATATACTTCTGAATTCTAAAGCTTTTTAAAAAATTATTTAAACTTTTCCAAATTCCTACTTCCTTCCCTCCTCCTACTCCCCTCCCTCTCCCTCCACAAACCCTCCCACCCTACCCCCTCCAATCCTAAGAGAGGGCAGTGCACCCCACCTTGTGGAAAGTCCAAGGCCCTCCCTATTACATCTAGGTTAAGCAAGGTTTACATCCATGGGGAATAGGATCCCAAGAAGCCGGTACATGCAGTAGAGACAAATCCCAGTGTCACTATCAGTGGCCCCTCAGTCTGGAAATCTGTATTCTAAAACATCATTTTCCTGACTGTCTAGAATTCCGGCCTATAGACAGCCGATCACATGTTAAGTCTTGCTCCAAACACCTTACATGTTGATGTGAGTACTTTGGCACGGCACCCAGGTCTCCTTCTTCGGGCTGTGGCCACCATCTGTGGCATGCTCTTTGTTGTTGCTCTTGACAGAGGAGACACCTGGTGCCAGGTATCCGTTATTTGGCTTCAGAAATAGGCATCTGTAAAGGTCCAACACAACCCCAGAGCACCCTTGAAGACCCTCTGGGGGTCTCTCTGAAATGGCATGACATCACTCTCATTGTTTGGTCTCACTGCCTGTCTTCCCTCCCAGTTTGGTTGTCCCCCACAATACTCATGCCATTGCTGAAGAATGTTTCCTGGGGAAGTCCAGGCAGCAGAAACCTTCCTGAGTGCCCACACCGCCTCATGAAATAAGTGTAGAGCTGTCTAAACCCTAGACACAAAGAAAGGGAAGCATTGGGAAAGATGAAGTTTGCCTAAGGTCTCTCATCAGGATACGGGAGAACCAGGATCTGAAACCCCACAAATATCTACCCTTAACCTCAGCTGCTGTCTCTTAGATGTGATCTCAGAGGGAGCCCAGGGACAATAGGGAAGACTGGAGCCTTTATGGGAGGGTGAGGAGCAGCTCATATTTATTAGCATTTCAGAGATGGGGGCACTGAATTCGAAGCTGCTTAGCCTCAGGATCACTCACCAGTTACAGAGCTGTTTCTGCTTGCTTTTTGCTTTCAAATATAAATCCAGGCACTAATATTTACCCTATAACTATAGAACTCAGAGCAATTAAACCTTTTTAGCATAGTTGCAAAGGTTTCTGTTATAATAGTGTTAAATAAATGTTTTCCTTTATGCCTGCTGTTTCCAACTCTGATCTTTGCCAAGTCTCTCGTTTTCTGATTCTCTGATCCTTCATCTGCTAAACGGAGGCGATGGCGGTAGGCTGAATAGCTCACTTAGCTCCCGTCAACTTCGGAACACATGGAATGGTGCCTGTTCCGACCTGAGAGAGTTCAGTATAACGGTGATGTACTTTTTCTTGGAATGCACCCTGTGCTCCTGTCCCCTGTGACCCTAGAAACTCAGTCTCTCCTGTGATCTCTTAAAGTGCCACCGGGACCCGCCACCCCCACAAAACCTCTCTGACACTTCTGAATCGTTTTTTCCTGCTTTTACTAGAGGTCGGCGGCTTTTTTCCGCCCTGGCAATCTGTGGGTGTGCGTCTCGTCTTCAAGCCTTCCTCCTCTCCTGGCACCCTAAGTCTCAGACCTCCGGGGTGGGGACAGCCCCGTGCGCTGGGAAGGAGGCCCTAGGGGCTGCCAGTCGCGCCCCGCCCTGTCAGGCTCCCCGCCCCGCCTCCTCCCTCGCAAGACTCGGCCCCAGTTTCTTATTGGCCAGCGACTCCCGGCCCCGCCCCGCCCCTCGGGGATAAAAGTCCTTGGTAGTCGTGGTCCTGCCGTGTGGTTTTCTACGGACCCCATCTGCACAGTCCGGTACTTGCAACAGCCTCGCTTTTCCCTCTTCGCCCTCCGGTGGCCTACGGAGCCCGCCACTATCCTCCCCACGACTTGCTGTCCTGCGCCCGCAACCATGTGCCGCACCCTGGCTACCTTCCCCAACTCCTGCCTGGAGAGGTAAGAGGAGAGAGTTTGTTTAGCTGTCCCGACGACAAAGTCTTGAATCTACCGGCCGGCAGGCTTGGAAAGTTGGGTAGAGGGGACAGCGGGAAGCGACTGCAGTGCCTAAAAGCCCCCAAAGTGTTAAGACCTATCAGGGCACAACTCGAGGGCTGCTGTTGTAGCCTAGACTTTGAAGACTCTAGTGAGAAAAGCTTCTAGGGCGGTGGGGGAATGGTCGGGTGTACTCACGCTTCTGAGACTGAACTACGGGTGGTGGAGTTAGTTCTTGTGGGACTCCTCAGCCATCGCCGCCACAAACTTCTCTGTGCTCGCAGAGCAAACAGAATCCTTACGTGCTCATGGTTTGTCTTTCAGAGCCAAAGAGTTCAAGACGCGTCTGGGGATCTTTCTCCATAAATCGGAGCTGAGCTCCGATACTGGTGGTGTTAACAAGTTCGAGTGGGCCAGTAAACATAGCAAAGAGAGGTAAGTCCTGTTTTTGCCAGCCCTGGGGTTCTAGATGGGAGGAAACCTGCGAGGGAAATCAGGAGGAGACAGGCTAGCGGGGCCCTAAGCCACCCTCCCTGCAAATTTTAATGAGACTGTTTCTGCTGTGCTGTGGCTTCCCAGCTCCATGGAGCGGTTGGCAGAGGCCGGGTTTTGCCGACCCCAGCGGATGTCTGCATGCAGGACATTCTCTCTTTGAACACAGGGCTAAGACAGAGTCTGCTTCCATTTAGAGAGCACCTTGCCTGGGAGCCCCCTACCCCCCCTTTTAATTGAACACCAGCAGTACAGGTGGTGTGCTAGGCTCTGGGGTTGTAGGTAGAATTTCTGCGAAGCTCTAGCTTCACTGGAGAGGTGTGAAAATCAAAGCCAAGAATCTGGGGAATAGAATCATTTTTGGTTACAGAAGAGGGAGGGAGCCTTAGGGATACTGGCTGAGGACTAAAGGGCCCCTGGCATCAACCGCTGGATGCCCAGTTGCCTATTACATAACATCACTACTCTGACTGCATATGAGTTTGAGAGGCTGGTTCTGATAGTCATCAGCTTCTGCCTAGGATGCCTTTCTTGACTTAAAAAATTAATTTAAGAATCTCTGCTCTTTCCCCTTCTCTTGGCAGAATCTTCTCGGAAGATGTTCTGGGATGGAAAGAATCCTTTGATCTGTTGCTGAGCAGCAAGAGTAAGTAGGACCCTGTTGTCTGCCTGTGGAAGGCACGTGTGTGCTCACGTGCTTGGAGCTTGTCCCAGGGATGCTGAAAACCATGGGCAAAATAATAGTAGTAGTAATAATAATCCCGGTCCCCCAGTGTGTCAGCCTCCATTCAGAACACAAAGCAGAGCCTTGTTCAGGAAAATTACTTTCTAAAAATAGAGCCATTAGCGGCAGTTGCTGTCTTTCCTTCCTTTATTCCCAGCTGCCCCCTAATCTGACCTGTCTCCTCTCTCCTCCTCACCACCAGATGGAGTGGCTGCCTTCCACGCTTTCCTAAAGACAGAGTTCAGCGAGGAGAATCTGGAGTTCTGGCTGGCCTGTGAGGAGTTCAAGAAGATCCGATCAGCCACCAAACTGGCCACCAGGGCTCACCGCATCTTTGACCAGTACATTTGCAGTGAAGCCCCTAAAGAGGTCAGTGTCCTGGCACTGGCCGTGACTCCCCCAGACCATTCCTGCCTCTTCCCAACTGAGATCAGGGCCAGTGGGGGCCAGTGAGGGGAAAGGAGTAGGTTTTGCAGTACAGCAATCTTCTTGTTTGCAGAGGGGTAGGGTAGGACCTCAGTGACCAGATGCTAGCTTTGTGACTCATGGTGGCACAGGACAAGACAGCAGGGTTTTGCCTTCTCTATATACCTATATTTGTAAATTAGTTATTTTTGGGGAACCTCAGCACATCAATTGGAGGAACAAGAACTTTGGGTAACCTGGCTTACCTGCCTCCCCACTTTGGGGACAGTTTTTTTTTTTTTAAATTGCAATTCAGCTTTCTCTCCTGGAGGTATCGGCACAGTAGCAGTGGCGCCACCTGGTGGGCATACCTGAGCAATGCCATGTTTTTGTATCTTGTTTTCTGACTGCTTCTATATTTCCCATCAATCATCTATAGAGATTTCTTAAGTATCACTTACATGCAAGGCTCTTCTATGATCTCAGAGGATATAGCAATGAACAAAACAAATTTCTAATGGAATTATATTCTAATGGGAGAAGATGTCAGTTAACCAATTCAATATAAGCCGGGTGGGGTATGGACAGTGCACACAATGGAGTTAGGAAGTGGCTGAAACAGCACACGAAACAGGGGGTGTAAGGATCAAGAGAGGGAAGGACATCCTGCCGCAGTGAACAGCAGCGAGACAGTAGGACATGAGGTCATGCGTGTGGCTGGTGGCCAGATGTGCTCATCCTAGCTTTTTTTTTGAATGACACGGAGAGGAGGAAGCTAAGGTGTTCCCTGAACGAGTGGGCTCAGTATAGCAGCTGCGAGGTTAGACTGGGAGTGAGGGGAGGAAAAAGCAGGTAGGAATTACTGCATAGGTCAGCACGGAGGTGGTGGCTTGGAGCAGGGCTCTGGCAGAACACAACCTCATGCTAATCCCAAGAGCTCAGAGGACCAATCCCTGGGTCTGATGTGAACTGTCCCGGAGCTGGTGGGGTTAGAGAGATGGCTCCGTGCTTAAGAGCCCTTGCTGCTCTTACAGAGGACATAGGCCACCCCACACTAGAACTCCAGAACTCCTATATCCCATCAGGAGCATGGCAGCTCACAACCTCCTTTAACTCCAGTCCTGGGGATCCAACCCTCTCTTCAGGTCTCCAGAGGCTTCTGCACACGTGTGGCACACACACTTACGCAGATACAAATACATAAAAGTAAATAAAATTTTTAAAAAATTTAAGAAGGGAGACTCCCTCTTTATTTAGTGTCTGGTATTCTTTCCTTGACCTCACTTGCCTGCCGGCGTCTTGGCTCCGCCCCTCCTTACCGCTCGCTCCCTCACCGTTGCGCCTGCTTTGCTTCCCACAGGTGAACATAGACCATGAGACCCGAGAGCTGACAAGGATAAATCTTCAGGCCCCCACTGCCAGTTGCTTCGATGTGGCTCAGGGGAAGACTCGCACCCTGATGGAGAAGGACTCCTATCCGCGCTTCCTCAAGTCACCTGCTTACCGGGACCTGGCCGCCCAAACCTCAGTCGCCTCCTCCACCTCTACATCCAGCAGCAGCCCAGCTGAGCCTTCACACAGTTGAGCCTCCACAGCAGCAAAGAAACCAGCAGGAAGAGAGGTGGAGTCAGCGGTCCCTGAAGCAGCTGCCCTGTGTGGGAGGCCGGTTCTGCCCAACAAGTGCCAGAGGACAGTGAAGGGATGCACGTTCCTGCCTCCTGGGCGTGAAGCACTCCCTCTTCCTAGATACTGCGGTGGACTCAGTGTGGGAGAGGCTCCTCACTTCCAGGACCTGTGGCCGAGGGCTGACAAGTGGGCTGTGTGGGGCGCTCTAGGGAAGGTGGCACAGCAGTCCCGTTCTTCCCACCAGGGCCCAGAGGCATGCTGGGGCAGTTGGGAACCTTGAGAGCAGGAGCTGGAGATTCGTCCTCAAGATAGTTGGCTTTGGTCACTCACATCTTGATGTCCTTGTTCCTGGACTGGGCCTAGAAAAAGCTATGAAAGGGGAACCTCCCTCTTTTGTGCTTGCCTTCCCAGAGATACCCAGGGTCCCCTAGCTTAGGCTTCTTAACATTCCTGTGTTCATTCTTGCAGTCTCATGAGGGTCAATGAGTCAGAATGATTCTTGCCCCAAATGAGATTTTTATACCTCAAAAAAACTGGCCTGTGAGTCCCTTTCCAGGTCAGTAACGAGTCCTGGAAAAGCAGCCACTCTGCTTGTGTGACCCTAGACTGGGTGCTCTCGGTGGCCTGTCGGTGGCAGCAGGGTCCACCTGTGAACAGGGCTCACTGGAAGGTCTTATTGAGCCCTGCATCGCTTTGGGAGATGAGGTCGAAGTGGAGGGAAGTGGGTGGAAGAGCCTTCAGACACCCGGGATAGCACTTAGGTCCAGCAACTGAGTGAGGGAGAAAGGGCCATAGAAAATTCATCACTGGGAGGAGCCTAAAAGTCTCACTGAAATCAAATCAGTTCTCTTTGTGCCTATGAGCCTGGGAACAAGAGATGCCCCCTGGTGGAAGGGGAGCCTGTGTTTCTTTCCTGTAGACAGGAGATACCCACTGTAGGTAGGGGAGAGGTAGGCCAGGGACCAAGATAGCTCTGGAAGGGAAGCCAGGGAGTATTGGGGGGCTGCTTGGAAGAGTGGGGGCTGGGGAAAATCAACCTGACTACCACCTCTGGGTCTTACCGACCAAACAGTCTAAGTTGGGACTTCCCGCACCAGAGACCAAACTGGCAGTGGAGACCCAGGTTGCCAACATTGTTCTCTCTGCACTTGAAGCTTCCCCAGAAGAACAGTATTTAAGTATAATATATTGTTACATTGTGTCGTGCTGATTGTCTCAGCTAATATTGTCGCTGTTGTTATTTATTGTGGCTTGTTGGCCTCCACTGGAGAAACTCAGCTGGAGTGCTGGCCTGGCTGTGCCTCCTCCCCACCTGACTCTACCTCTGCAAGCCTGGGGAACCACTGAGGGCTGTGGGGGAGGGGGACACCCCACCGTTTTAATATTTATTTATTGTTAACCAAGGGAGCTGGGTTCCTTTATCGGCGGTGTACACAATCCCCATTTTTCTGTCTGAGCGTGTCATGTTCTTGTAAGAAATGAAAATAAAACGCAAGAATACCATCCCGTTTCCAAGGACCGTGTGGTTGAGAAGGTGGTCCGGGGAAGTAGGGAGGGCCTGTGACGTCAGAGGCCTCTGTGGATTCTGTAGGTTGAGGGTGCAACAGGATGGGGCAGCTGGCTGAAGGCATGCAAGGGTTGAGATTTGGGGGACAGTCGACAAACACCAGCCAGGCTCTGCCTCTTCTGCCCATTGCCGTCTGGGTCACCCCATCCCTCTCGGTTTCCTGCTTGTCACTAACACAGGCACACAGCAGTGAAGGCCTGTATGCCAGCTCTTAGGAGAAGGAGGCAAGAGGATTGTGTTTGAGAATAACCTAAATTACATAGCGAGATCCCAATTCGAAAGGAGACACAAGTATTTTTATGAGGCGTTATAGTTAACGGTTTATACACAGATCCTGATACACTGTTGATTTTCATTCCTCCCTTAAGTCCTCAGGGTGACCAGAGCTTCAAGTACTTGGGGACAGAGACCTCTTAGAATTATACCCTACACCTAGATCCAGGGTGCTTGGGTGATGGCAGGAGGGTTTCTGACATTGAGGGCCTAGGCAAGGATATGGGAACAGCTCGGCAGTGGTGGTGCATACCTTTAATCCCAGCACTCAGGAGGCAGAGGCAGGCAGATCTCTGTGAGTTCGAGGACAGCCTGGTCTACAAATCAAGTTCCAGGACCACCAGGGCCACACAGAGAAACCCTGTCTCAGAAAACAAACAAATAAACGACAAATAAATAGCTAAGATATGGGCACAAACACTCAGGCAGGCCTTGACCTCATGTGGTCCAATCAATAACTCTCCAAGTTCCCCGAGGGAGGAGCGTGTGTGGGGTGCAGGTGGTGAGCTCTTTCTTACACTGTGGGGGCGTCTCTCTGTGTGAGATGGGCGGAACAACCATGACCAAGGATGGAACAAGACAGAAGTCCTCAAAACTGTGGAGCATGTGTGTGTGTGTGGTGCTCACTCTGCACACGTGCATGCCACCAACATGTGTGTGGAGGTCAGAGGACAACTTACGTGAGTTCTCTCTCGGCTTCTACCATTTGGGTTCTGGGGGTTTAACTCAGCTTTGGCTGCATGCACCTTTACCTGCTGGGCCATCTTGCTAGTCACGAGGCTGGGTGTCTCTGTTTCCTACTGCTGTAGATGATTGCCCGAATAAAAACGTGGGGATTTCTTAACGCTGCTAAGGGTCTTCACCTCCCTTTGCCAGACTACAGACTCCTGACTTACGCATGTTTTTGTCCCCAGTTTTCTATATATCTTGTCTGCTGCTCGGAGCATTCCAAGATCTCAGATGAGGAAATGGACAGTGGTAGGCACTAAATTAGGCTGGCATGTCACAGAGAACATGACGTCCCCTCAAAACCCAGGCCAGAACAGAATGGTGCTTCCACGGCTGAGGGAGAGCAGCTCGTAATTTACACTCTGCTGCCCCCCTGTGGCCATGACGAGGTTTTTTTCTTAGGGTCTGACTTCTATAGTTAATACATATTTAATTATGTGTTCATGTGGGTGGTTGTGTGTCCATGAATTCAGGCGCCTGAAGAGGCCAGAGGAGTATGATCCCTGGAGCTGTGATTACAGGGGGCTATGAGCCACCCAGTGTGGGTGCTGGGAACCAGACTTGGGTCCTCTGGAAGAGCAGATATACTTTTAACTGCTGAGCTCCAGTCCGTACTTCCACTGTTTTATAAAGTTTTGCTTTTTCCTGTGGAATTCTATATAACAGCTAGAATTTGTTTAATCTATTGATTCATTTTGGCAGACACATGGCATTTTGATGAAATTAGAATTATTAACGCAATGTGTGTAGGAGTTAAGCCAAAATTTCCTCAGTTCTTTCAGGGCTGCGAATTAATTTCTCAATCTGGAAGGTCTTAGGTAAGAGACCATTCAGGTGTCCAGGGACTATGAAATGCCGATTCAAGGTAGTTTGATGAGAGTGGGGTGCTCGCAATTGGTCCAGGGATCCAAACCGCTTTGGAGAAGAAAGGAAAACACGAAGTTAAACATCTGGGGTGCAGTCCTAAGGGTGAGAAGTGCGAGGGGTTGGGGGCTATGTCACACAGTAGCTGCACTCACCTGCCGGGAGCCTCTTCCCGAGTCAGAACCCTCACGTTGTGGCAGCAGCTACGAGGGGCTGCCCACCCCAGGGGAGGGGCTGCCCACCCCAGGGGAGGGGCTGCCCACCCCAGGGGAGGGGCTGCCCACCCCAGGGGAGGGGCTGCCCACCCCAGGGGAGGGGCTGCCCACCCCAGGGGAGGGGCTGCCCACCCCAGGGGAGGGGCTTCACCGGCCAGTTAGACCTTCAAGGAAAGGCTCTCACAGACCCGCCCAGAGGCTTGTTTCTTCTTTGCTAATACCAGATCCAATCAAGGTGTCAACAGAGACTAATGTCACAATCACAAGCTCGGGCGCTGACTTCGACTTCAAGTAAAGCAAGGATGTGTGGATTAAAAAAAATTTTTTTTTTTAACAACCAGTTCTCATTTAAGGGAGAGTTCTCCCTTTCTGTTAATCCCCCCTGCCATCCTCAGGGCGGCCTCACTGAAACCGTGATTACACGCTCAGAGCTGCGCGGCTGACTTGAATCTCACGCCTGCAGCTCACTAACCAGTGAGTTACACAGTTTCTTAGACTCTCACTTGGTATTATAAAATATAACTACAGACAGTATTGGCTTCAAAGAGCTTTTGTGACAACAGAAATGTATGAAAAGTGTGTATCAGATGGCAATCTTATCTGTCCCAACACTTACCCATCCCCAAGTGGGGCAGCTGGTGCCAAGGGCCTCTCAGGCTCATGCAATGTGGCAGCTGATAAATTATTGTGTTTTCCCCACAAGGGTCTCTTTAACTCTCTGCCCTGGTCTTGATCCAGGGTTTTCTATTGGAATCCAATGGTCGTTTTCCTCTGTTATTCACAGAGTCTCTTATTCATGTATTAACCGTTCAGAGTTTTATTCTATGCACGCTTTCTATTATAAGTGGCCTCAAATAATTTTAGAATTAGTTCGAGGCCAGCCTGGTCTACAAGAGCTAGTTCCAGGACAGGAACCAAACGCTACGGAGAAACCCTGTCTCGAAAAATCCAAAAAAAAAAAAAAAAAAAAAAAAAGAATTAGGGTTTGGAAATCATAAATAATAATAAAAAAATGTAACAAAGCAGTGTTTCAGCCTCACCTCTTACAAACCAGTTAGACCTGCAAGCGCTCTGGGATCTGGTCTGAAACTTTAAAACTCTTCTCTGTCTTGAAAAAACCAACCAAACAAAACCAGCAAACAAACAAAACACAGAACAAAACAAAGCGAAAACCTCTTCTATGGAAGGAAGATGATACTTTCCAAAGTGACCTGTTCAGACTGGCTGGCTTCTTTTGCACTCTCCAACGCATCAATCGTGCCTCAATTATAAATGAGAGAAAACGCAGACGGGAGCAACACAGCCCTGGCAGCCCTCCGCGCAGTGGCAGTATATAGTGCTTTTTCAGAAGGTCAGCAGGAATTGGAGAAGTCATCCCGTGACCGTGGGGAGACAAGGCAAAAACAAGGGAAGTGGTAAAGTGGACCAAACACCAGCCAGGCAAGATACTTGGCGCCACAAAAGTAGCTGAACGTCGCCCTCTGCTGACTGACCTGAGTGACTGCTGTCAGTCTAGCTCCGCTTTGTTCCGTCTAGTTCCTAGAAAACAATGCTGAAGGCAGCCATGATGAAATTTCTCCCGCTTCCAAAGAGCATCCAGTTGCTCATGGATCTTTATTTCCTTGTACTCCAGATCACCCGACACAGCCCAAACCTGTCAGGATCGTGTAATCAAGCCTTGGATTTCCTCTGGGCTCTTCCTGCACTGTTCACACAGGCGAGCTTCCAGGGCGCCTGCGGCTGCGGTGGGAGGAGTCACATTCTCCAGGATCTTTGTCAGGTCCTCTGCTCAGGACAGACTAACACGACTTGTCTCCTGTATGTCCTGGCCTGCTCTGGACCGACGTTGCCTGGGTTATTCTAACTGTCCCTGTTAAAGGAAACACTTTAGCTACTCTATTTAGCAATGCTGGGCTGAGTCATAAATGAAAACCAGAGCAGTTTTAGAACTCCAACCCAAAGCCATGGTCAGACAGCTGGTTCGCTTTTGTCAATTAGATACAAACTGGAGTCACCTGGAAGAGAGAACCTCCACTGGGGAGTTGCCTCAGGCAGGTCGGCTTGTTAGCAAGGCTGTGGGGGGCGATTTCTTGATTAATGACCAATGTGGCTGGTGCCACCTCTAAGCAGGTGGTTCTTGGTAGCACAAGGAAAATAAGCTGAGCAGGCCATGGGGAGCAAGCCAGGAAACATCATCCTCCACGGTCTCTGCTTCAGTTCCTGCCTCCACATTCCTGCCTTGATTTCTGTCCTGGTTTCCCCCCAATGATGGCTTATATGACATAACCCCTGTTAGTTCCCGCTGCTGTGACCAGCTTGCCTAGGCCACTGGGGTGGTTACCTCACCACCTGCCGCCAGGTGCTTTTCCACTCTCAGCTAAGCAACATGCCACTTAAAAAGGTCGTCAGTCACAGCTCTTGTCTCTCTTGCCTGGTCTGTCTGTCTGTCTGTCTGTCTGCCTTTCTCATGTCCCCACTCCAAGCAAACCTTTTGCTCTTTTACTCTCCCCCCTTCCCCAATAGACCCCCTGCACTATCTCTGTTCCCTTAGGAGCATACCTTGGCAGGCTCCCCCTGTAAGGTGTTGGGTACAGGGGGGTTGTACAATGATGAGAACACCACCAAGTCTAATAAACCAGAAGCAAACTTTATTCCAGAAACCAGATTCCAGGAAAACCAGAAGCAAACTTAAAAATATGAAAAAAAAAAAAAAAAACAAAACCACCCCAGGGCACAGAAGTTTATCAGCTAGCTGAGACCACAGCCAGAGATGGTATTTGTTAGGCTGTGGTAAAAGGCCGGTTTCTGAACCCATCTTTTCATAGTAGGGGCACCAAGCATTGGGTCTGAACAAA